AGTATACGTCTAGAGAGAAATGAGAGCTAGAGAGAGAAGTAATTTGTATTAAATGAGTTTCGAACCCTTACAACTACTCCCAAGTGGAGTATTTATAGGAAAAAGCAGGTTGGGCTCCCAAGTCTTGGGCTTGGGAGGCCCATTACAATATAAGGCCTCTATTGGGCTGATTACATTCAGATATATGAGCTAAGTATGGAAGTCTAGCTGACGAAGTCCTTGGAGACGTACGTGTGGCTGTGGCAGACGAAGTCATTGGAGGCGTACGTCTGGCTGACGGAGTGCGGGAGGCCCTACGTCCCCGGGGCCTTCCCATGTGCTGGAGGTCGTACGTCCATGGGGTGTTCCTTGTGCTTGTCGCCGTAGGTCCCTCGGGTCTTGCATGTAGTTGGAGGCCGTACGTCCTCGGGGTGTTCCTTGTGCTAGAGGTTGTACATCCCCAGGGTGTTCCATGTGATTGACGCCGTACGTCCCCGAGGTCTTGCATGTAGCTGGAAGTATGTGGGTCATGGGGTCTGGACCCATATGCTCCATCTAGAGTCCCCCACTCTCTGAGCTGAGACACATACGAAGTGAAATGGAGTAGATCCTTGCTGTCTTGATGCTTTTGGCCTTCGGAGGATTACCTGGGAGTTCTGGCGTTTCTGGCCAAAGGCGGTGCCGTAATTGTTGGATGCCTTTTGTCCCTCATTTCGAGGAAAATGGATGTCCTTCATTTTGAGGATGATGAATGTCCTTCACTTCGAGGACGATGCATGTCCTTCGTTTCGAGGCCGATGAATGTCCTTCATTTTGAGGACGAGGAACGTCCTCTATTTCAAGAACGACAAACGTCCTTTATTTCGAGGACGATGAATGTCCTTCATCTTGAGGATGACGAACGTCCTTCATTTCGAGGACAATGAATGTCCTTCATCTTGAGGACGACGAACGTCCTTCATTTCGAGGACGATGAATGTCCTTTGTGCTTTTGACTTTGGCCAAAAGTGGACTTCCATGGTGTCCTTGTCAATTTGGCCGACGGTGGATTGCATGTTTAAGGACATCTGTGGCTTGTGGTCCTTTGTCATTTTTGAACTTGTTTATCTTTGCGTTGGAGGCCGATGTAGTCCCCCAGTCCCCCACTGCCTGAGGCGAGAGTACTCGAACCGAAAGGGAGTAGAGCTACGTACTGATCTGTCAAGTGTTGTCGAGGTGATCTTTGTGAAGAGTTTGCATTTCGTGCTTGTGTGGTGACGGAGGCGCTAAGTCCCCCGCTTTTTCAGTTCCCCACTCCTTGAGGTGAAAAGGAGTAGAGCATTGCACGTCTTCAAAGTCGGGCCGAAGGTCGGCACCTTTTGATCCATAATGGGGCGATGTCTTGTTAAAAATCTCATTAGGAAAAAACCTTGTGGGAAAAAATTCTAATGAGGGAAAGAGAGCACACCTGATGCCCCAAAATGAACTCCAAGGGGTGAACCCTTCGGCCTAGGTGTGGACCTGCAGCGGTGTCCGTCTGCTGAGGGGACGCCCGCCTGCTGGTGAGGACGACATCACTGATGAGCTGGTCCGAATATGAGGACGAGATGATGGATGCCTGTCTGAACATGAGGACGAGGCGGTGGGCGCCTGTCTTAATATGAGGATGACAGTGGTGATGAGTCGTGCGTCATACGAAGGCGACGGTCACTATCCAGCAAGGGAATGGCGAGCTCAATTGCTAGCTCAGACGTCCGGCGCTGGGGAAGCCGGTTTTTGAGATGTAGGATCATGCAGAGGCTGGGGAGTCGTTCATGATCTTAGGACGTACGGCGATGAGGAGCCGATCGTTATAAAGAGGCGATGGTCACCATCCTGGAAGGGATGGAGAGACCGATCGTTGGCTCAAGACGCTCGGCGCTGGGGAAACCGGTCTTGAGGTAATCACGCCATGGCTGAGGGGCCGGTCATGATATGAGGACGACGACACTGAGGGGCCGATTCGAAAATCCATGCAACGATCGCCATCTGTTAAAGGAATGGTGTTAGGGACCTGAACACTACCAAGAATTAGAGCCTTATTAAGTCATTTTAGTTTTGTTCAATAATAGGATTTAGGCCCTACAACTTATTAGAAGTGGGCTGGCCCATTAGAAATAGAATAAATAAGGGTGAGTGGGGATTAGATGGGGGGGGGGGGGGGGCAGAACTTGGGATCAGGACTGGGATATTGGGAGTGAGAGACCACTCGAAGAGTCTCAAACCTTTCCTTTCGTGACTTTCTGTATTCCTTCACTAAATTTTCATTAATAAACTACTACTTTCTTCTTGGATTCTTCAGTTACTTATCATTGGTATCAAAGCCATTGACAAAATCCTTACCTGCGCATGGTCTTGACCCGATCGAGAATGGAGCAACGTGTGGAAAATCTGGAAAACACCCAAGCGGAAGTGAGAACTGCCGTGAATGAACTGCTTGGCTTGCGTGAGACCTTGGCCGAATTGAAGACTATCATGTTACAGGGTGACCGCCATAAGAGAAGAGGACGATCAACCACAAACCGTCGTCGCCATACTTCAGCAAGCGTGAGCTCCTCTAGTTCTGAAGGTAAATCTCATGAAACTCACTCAGTTTCACGCAACCCTTATCAGAAGAGAATCAGCGACCATGTATATACTGGAAGAAAGGTCGATTTACCACTTTTTAGTGGAGACGATGCTTATGGATGACTGATTAGGGTTGAGCGCTATTTCAAACTCAACCATGTGGCAGAAGAGGATAAAGTAGAAATAATCTTGATAGCCATGGCCGGAAAAACTCTGAACTGGTACCAATGGTGGGATGAACAGACTGATAACCATTCTTGGGTTAACTTCAAAGATGCTTTGTTCCGGCGTTTTCAACCTGCCTTAGTGCAGAATCCGTTTGGTCCTATGCTCAGTATTAGGCAAACTGGTTCTGTAATGGAATACCGGGATCACTTTGAAATGGTTGTAGCTCCTCTCAAACTTGCTGACCAAGGGATGTTAAAAGGAGTGTTTCTCAATGGCCTTAAAAAAAAAATTAGCACGGAACTGAAGTTGCACCAGACGAGTGGGTTAATTGAACTGATGGACAAGGCTTTGTTGTTGGAGCAGAAGAATAAGGTGTGGACAGGGAAAAAAAATAAAGAAGAAGACAACATAGGGTGGAAGGAACAGGGAGGAAAAATGGTTAGACCCTGGAACTGGGTAGACGCAACAGAGGGAAGAACACCTGCGTTAAATCCGAAGAGAACACTTTCAGAGAACAAACTGGAGGAATCGCCAAAACCGAGTAAGACATGGGAAGGTGGCCAAAGGTTGACACAAGCAGACTTAGAAGAAAGAAGCAAGAAGGGCTTATGCTTCAAATGTGGAAACAAATGGGGCAAAGAGCATGTTTGTGGAATGAAACATTATCAATTGATCTTGAGGGAAGAGCCAGAAGAAGAGGAGGGCACAGTAGATCAATTTTATGAGCGGGATGGAGCTGAAAACTTGTTGGAACCTAATGCAAAATCAGTCTCTTATCATCCACCTTGAGGACAAGGTGGAAGTTAAAGGGGGGAGTGATGTTAGGGACCTGAACACTACCAAAGAATTAGAGCCTTATTAAGTCATTTTAGTTTTGTTCAATAATAGGGTTTAGGCCCTACAACTTATTAGAAGTGGGCTGGCCCATTAGAAATAGAATAAATAAGGGTGAGTGGGGATTAAATGGGGGGCAGAACTTGGGATCAGGACTGGGATATTGGGAGTGAGAGACCACTCGAAGAGTCTCAAACCTTTCCTTTCGTGACTTTCTGTATTCCTTCACTAAATTTTCATTAATAAACTACTACTTTCTTCTTGGATTCTTCAGTTACTTATCAAATGGCTAAGACCGATCTTTGAGAAAGATAATCATGACATGCTGAAAGGCCGTTCGTGATGTGTGGACGTCGGCGCTGAGGGCCCGGTCCGAAAATCCCTGCACCAGTCGCCATCCGGTAAAGGAATGACTAAGACTGGTCTTGAGATAAGGGATCACACCGAGGTTGAGGAGCCGTTCGTGGTCTGAGGACGTACGGCGTTTAGGAGCCGTTCGTTGTAAGGGCGACGGTCCCCATCCTGGAAGGGATGAAGAGCTCTGTCGCTGGATGAAGACGTTCGACGCTGGGAGCCGGTGTTGAGATGAGGGATCATGCAGAGTTGAGGAGTCGTTCGTGATCTGAGGACGTACGGCGATGAGGAGCCGATCGTCATATGGAGGCGATGGTCACCATCCAGGAAGGGATGGCGAGCCCAATCGCTATAACAAGACTTCGATGCTGGGAGCCAGTCTTGATGATAAATAATTATGTCGAGGCCAGGGTCCGTTCGTGATGTAGGGACAACGATGATGAGCCGGTCTAACAAATGATGACGAGGCGATGCTGAAGTCGATCTCATATGAAGGCGCGGCCGCGCGGGTTAGCATGTTAGTATTATTATTGGTATAATCATAATTTCGCATTATATTATCCTATTTGAATTGCTTATTAACTCATATTGTATTGTTATTGTTTTAAAAGTAGCATTTACAACATTGCCACTCATTGTTAATTACACGTTGGCATGTTGCAACAAAGAGTATGACGACGACAAAATGGTATAATTATTGAGGGTGTATAAAGTGTACTCCGTATAAATTAATATTACACATTTTTTATACGATGGTGAGCTGGGATTTACTCCACGTTATGAACTCGGACCATAAGTTATCCAAAAGGCTTGGGTTTGGGTCAGTTTATTTACTCGGACTACTACATTAGAAATAAAAATGGGAGGAAGCTAGCAATAAAAACATGTACTTCTTTATTAGTCATCTCATCACCCTTTGAATATCCAACAATACGAAACCCCTATGAAAAAACAGAATTTGTGTGTGTGTGTGTAAAAGAGGATTCCGTTTGAATTAGAATTTGATTTTGATTTTATTTTGCATCATTGCCGAAATACAGAATGCAATATTAGAAGATGAATACACGTTAAGCACTGGAGGCATTTTTTATAATTCAATCTGTTGTGACTTCACTTTGTATTATTTACATCAGAAAGTCTTATATATTTGACATTTGGCACCAGGTGCATGCAACCGTGCAACATTGAAAGTTTACAACACACAATATATACAACCCAAGTCCATGCTACCCAGTCGGGTAGATTCGAAATGATCCCCGGGCATGACATCAAGATATTCGACAATCCGATTTGGCGGTCGAGCAATCACGCAGAGTAGCAGCAGTATAAGCAGCATTGACCAAACCAAATGTCTACAAGACTACAAATTTGGAGGATCAATGTAGAACGCATGAAACCATTTAGAACATAAGATGCAGTAGAAAAAAATGAGCCTATGTACTTCCACAAATACCATTGAACCTCTCATCCACGGCTCTACTCTCTCAATTTAAGAATCTTCAGCCTCGAAGGAGAATGTTAATCTTGCTCTCTATCAACAAATCCATTACATTGTACACAATTGAATTACATGACATTGGGAACAAAAAGCTAAGAAAATATCAACTAAAATCATCCAACTTGTTTAGCACCTCCACTTGTTTCATCTGCCACTGACTCCCAAACATTAGCAATCTTTTCTGCATATCCTACCTGGTCAACATTCTATTTATTAAAAGAAGTGACATCGCATTTGTATGACAAGGACCAAAATGCCCATTGTGCGACTTTAGCAGGGAATCAACATCATATTTCGCTAAGCTAACGTTGAAATTATATCAGTGGTTACCAAATAGTTTCATGGAAAGACTACATGCATATCAGAAAAAATACATCTCTGACTAGAGAAACTATGAATGAGCAACAGATACCTGATTAACAATAAATCCTCTCAACATGCTCATGAAATCATCATGCCTCTGCTTTTCTAATCTCTCTAGTTCATTCTTATTGTTTTCCTGCAAAAATTTACCCATTATCAGTTTCCATGATCTGCTGGTGTAAAGGATAAAAGAAGATACAAAAAGATCTTTTCGAAGGCATTAAGCAACCAGGAGAGAGAAATAGCAGAGCAGGAAAAAACTAATACTGCAAGCATAATTTCTTTAAATTCATTCGACCAAGTTAGCACTACTTCACAACAAAATCCATTTATATTGACCTCATATATTATCATGCAATTAATTAATATGACAAGACTGTTACAGGAAAGAATTAAGGTAAATAATAAGTTTGTCATCACAAAATAATAGATCACACATTGTGAAGAATAAACAGGTTTGCCAAGTATCACTAGAAGAAACTTATCAAACCAAACCAGTTCTGAATAAAACTAAAATGGTAAGAACCAGAAAGTGTTAAGATCAGTTGTGGCCTTGTGAACCATTATGCCCTCCATACACCGCAAGTAACTATTAGCTGCAGTACTGCGCAGCTATTAAGAGTGGGCTTTTTCCTGATATCATTGTCATCAACAATTCAAGATGAAATAATAGTTATAAAAATAATTGACATTGTAGAAAAGAGAAAGTATATTAAGAGTCCTTTCAAAATGACCCTTGTACCCTTATTTAATATAAACATTAAATAAAGTCCCTTTCTTTATAAGGCACAATAAAATTCAGTGTAGGAAATGTTAATATGGGCATGTTTCGAAGAGTGATTAAAATTTATGCACAAAACTCCTACAATGATTTCGGAACAATGTGTTAGAGCTAAGTTTCACCAAAATGAGGTCCTGAACAAGACAGAGTTGAAAAGGCTACCTTAATGCGCTCATATTCTCGGGCAGCGCAACTTTTGGCCTCCTCAGTGGCTCTAACAGTTTCTCGCAGCTCTTCTATTTTACGAATTCTAGACCTGTCCCCACCAAATATCTTAGAGGATGCAGCTTCAAGCTTTTCAATCTTGGAATTTAACGATGACAGTTCTGATACCAACGTCTGTACTGTCAATAATGCATTAGACCGATCCGAAAATGCATTATTGACAGCCAACATCGTTCCAAGATATTCATGAAGCTTATCCTGCAACGGACTCAAATTTATAAGTACTCCTCACATTAAGTATCATTCGGGAAAAATCCAGCAGATTAAGGAGTGAATAAATTGAGAAACACTTCACAATATAATGTCTTACAAACATTTAATCATTGCTAAAAATTAGTTTTGCATGGGGCCTTACAGAAGGGACATAAAAAACATCAAATGTTGTCTTGGTTTTATGAAAACAGAAGAATTCCAAACAAAACTTTCCCTCAAAAACGGAAAGTATTGTTAACCAGATGGAATATGTCGCTTGAGCATACAAAATTGAAGAGTATTTCAAATTTAAAAAAAAGGAAAAAAAAGAATTGATTAAAAATTTAATATTGAGTACCAAATGTTTGACTGTCTGTGCATTTAATTCTCTATATAATCTGCTTGCTTTAACAGAAGCAGTTGCCACATTTTTCATGTCTGCAGCTCTTGTTCTTTGAGAGTCATAAATGGCTTCCTCCGTTTCAAACTTAGTCAATTTAACAAAGGCTAGGCCCAATTGCCCAACTGTTTCTCCAATGTCTTGCTGTGCTTTCACAAGTGCTTCAGCCTGAAATCATCATTGAAATAAAGACAAAGAAGAGTGTAAGCATTCATATTGATTACACGACAATTCATTCCAATTCAGTCAATTGAAATGGTATATTTAGGTTACAGATACCGTTACCTGTATGAACCACAAAGTGATCAAAATACATGGTAATAATTTAATATTAAGATTTTTGAAGGAGCAGTAAAGTGCCCATGTTGATCTTAGAGCAGATTTGGTTAGGTTCATTGTCTGAAATGGTTGAAAATGCCGAAATATTTTCAGAAAGGAAATGTGTTTTGTAACATACATTTCAGCAAAGTAGCTACCTACTTTGCTGATAAGAAAAATAAGGTCATTATGTATAACATACAGAACCTTATTTCTCTTTAAGGGAAGATAAAACAGCTATACTTCATCAAAATATTTACAAAATTATGTATTGATTGCATCACTTGGTAAATTCTTGGTCATTCTTATTTCAAATTTCAATCATATAATCATGAGTCCTTTGTTAAAACAACACTCTGTACTTTAATTCCTTGTATGTTCAAAATTAGACTATCAGCATGGAAGGAATTAACCTCCTGAGACACATTTGTGAGCTGCTGTTCAAACCCCTGCAACATATCTTTCTTCTCCAGAAACTCCTTATCCTCTTCCATGACAGACGGCTTCACCCCACCCCAATCGTTTGTCACTGATTGTCTCAACTCCTTAAACATCCTCAACAAGTCCATCCCTCCCTTGGCAGGCTGAACCATCTCATTCAGGTCTAAAGCTCCTGCTCCTCCGGTCTCCCCTAAGAGCTGCCTTGGAAGATTCACTGCCCCACCCAGCATCCTGGATGCAACATCAGTGGTCTTCACCAGCGGCAATTTCCCTTGTGCTTCCAAAAAAAGTCTCAGCTCCTCACTAGTCCGAATGACAGGGTGTGCTGCCAGCCGCCTCAAGTACTTCTCCAATGCCGCCCTCCTCTGCTCCACAAACTCGTATTTCTGCATCACCTGACTTTCTACCACACTCTTATCAGGCCGTACTGGGATGAAAAAGCCCCGGTAAGCTTCTGATAACCGGTCCGACAATGTCACAACGTCTCTGAATCTCCTTCTGGTGCTAAATTCAGTTCTGCTGTACCGAGGTAAGTTCGTTGTCGTAGTTATGAGGTAGGTCACGTAAGTGTTCCCTCCCGGAACGAGAGAATTCGAGAGCTCCTGTTCCTTCTGCGGATCGGACACTGTGATCTGAAGGTATTCGGACATTGCCGCAGACGGGGACGAAGAAGAAGGAGACTCTCCCGATTGGTCGTGTCCGTTGACTTCAACCGGAGTGTGGTCGGCGTCAAAGGACCGGAAAATAGCATCCGCGTAAGAGGGAGGTTCGAGGATGGAATTGAAGGAGTTAGGGTTTTGAGTCTGAGTAGGAGGAGGGTTCAGGGGGTCATCGTTAGTAGAGATTTCAGCGAACGGTAGGGGCGAAGCTGATAATGGATCGGAGAAAGGTTTGCGGCCATTAGAGTAGCCGTCCTGATCGTCGTTGAGGAAGAGAGACTCCATTTCTTCCTTTGATGCATATAGATGCGCCTCTTCGAAATCCTGATTCTCATACCCCATCATCCTGACACCAAATCTCCACCGATTGAAACATCAACAAACTTTCAACGCTGAAATCGGCATGGCATCTACTAGAAGTGCTTAACCCGGATTCAGCTCAAGTACGACACTGGATCACCCGATGACCCGAACGTGATTGAATAACGGAAACGGGTTGAGAAGAGTCGAAATTCGGGTAGGAGCAGAAGGATGACCGGCGGCTGACGGAGGAAGACTGGTGGTTATGAGGTGATAAGCCGACGATTCCACCGGATAAAACACGTGAAAAGTACGTGTCGAGCAACCAGTGCGTTGTTAAAGACTTGAAGATACTTGAACTGATCAAATTGGACATGAATAGATCATAATTGAACATACTTAAAATATGCTTAAGTTATAGGATTATTATATAATGCTGACCCGGAAACTACATTAAAGTACACTTAAATATAGGGGTGTTTGGAACTGATTCTGATTCTGCTTCTTTTTTAAAGCAGAAGCAGAATCAGAATCAGTTTTCAGAAGCTGGTCACCCCCAACTTCTAAAAAAACTGATTCTAGAAGTAAATTAGAGCACCATAATCACTTCTGACTTTCACCCAAACACTCCAACTTCTGCTCCCTGAAGGAGCAGAAGCAGTTTTAAGAATCAAATCCAAACATCCCCAATACTTATATGCCAATTCACATTAGAAAATCTATACTTATATCTATATATATTACGGAGTATATACTCCGTATTTGATAGTAGAAATTTTATCAATTCAGGACCCGAAAGATGAAACGTATCGGTATAGGACCCGAATGATGGAAAACTATCAATTTAGGACCTAACGCTTCATAGGTTTTGATTTATTTAATTTTTTATTAATTCCATTACTAATTTTTGATAAACTTTTCTTCACAAAAGTTTATTAGTTTAATAAAACGAAATAATATTTAAAAATTTTTAATAAAAAAATTATGACAACTTAGGTTCTAGATTAATAATTTTCAATCATTAAGGTCCTAAATTAATAGTTTTTCATCATCCGGATCATATTAAGGATTCCTATATCGATGCATTTTATCTTTCAGGTCTCAAATTGATAATTAATCTATCTTTCGGGTCCTGAATTGATAAAATTTTGATAGTGGTATTGATGATAATTTCTGGCACATGTCATTTCTACATGTATGGTCTCTAGCTACCTCCATTTATATTTAATTTAATAGTATTCATTTGGCCCAGATATTTAGTAGCCCAACTTTGACCATTTTTTTATCTCATCTTTAAGTGTAAACTTGCACCAAAATACCTCTTCAATCTTCACTATAAATCAGCTATCAAATCAATATGCATTCGCATTAATTAATTTAAATATATTAACATTACCATAATAAACCCTGCATTACCATATAAAACCTTCGAGTAGTGGTGGGCGCGGTCCGATTCGGTCCAATATTTTACCGAACTCGTACCCGGACCGTTACTATTGAAACGGTTCGATTCGGTTCGGTCTTAGACCTAAACCCGTTCGGTACGGTTCCATTTTCAAACGGTCTGATACCATGTCATACAAATACCAAACAATGCCACTTTTTTCGATAAATTAAAAGTTAGTTATCATCCAAAATTTCACACAATTATCAATTTTCATATTAAATAGTTAATGAATTTCATATACACTATAATAGTACAAAATGTAATAACTAATAACAATTATGGATGTAATAGATTATAATCTATTACATCCAAAATCACTATTATGGATGTAATAGATTAAAATCACTAATGGATGTAATAGTGCTCCTGCACGCAGCTTGCAGTGAACAAGCAATTAACAAAGTGCAAATGAGTAATCAAAGTAATGGTACTATGGTATACATGTAGATATAATTATAAAATTATTATATAAATTAATGAAATTATAATTCGGTCCGGTTCGGTCCGGTATTGGTTCTCATTTTATGTGAACCGGTCATGACATGGTTTGAAACTGGTACGGTCCGGTTCGGGACAATTTTTTTTAGAACCGTTTGAAACTCTGTTTTCCGGTTCGTTACAATGCTGGTTCGGTAATTTTGCCCATCCCTACCTTCGAGTGGTATTTATTGTTTCCATATTATTTCTTGCAATTTGTTATAACCATATTAAGCCTGCGTTCAAATTCTTTTATTCTTCCGGTGTGAACTCATCAATTCATGACAATCACCTCTTGAACAACCTCTACAAATGAGCTCTCAACAAAATCATTAACCACGTGTATTTACTTAAAGGTAGATTATAGCTATGTTTGACAAGACATAAGTCTCTGCATTTTAGCTTTTGTACTATTTAAAAAATCTTTAAAAGTTTCTGGGTGTATGTTTGGCATGCAAATTTTAAGAGCTTTTATAAAAATAAAAGATCTTTTTTGAGATGCTACAATGAGTAACACCTCAGATAAGTTTGTAGCTTCTAGCATTAATTAGTTCTAACAGCTTGTATACCAAACGGAGCTAAATTAAACAACCAACTTTTTTTCAAATAGCTATTACTCCCTCCGTCCCTAAATTATCTTCAAACTTTCCTTTTTCGTCCGTCTCAAAATTATCTCCTCTTCCCTCTTTTAGCAAAAAATTTGTGGTTCACAACCATTCTTACACATTCTTACACATTTCTCTCTCCTCTACACAACTCTCCACCACACAAATCCCACTATCTTAATAAATGTGCCCAGCTGAAAAGGGAGAAAGATTAGGGACGGAGGGAGTACCTTTTTCTTTTAAGATCTTTTCCGTCACTAAAAGCTAACCATTACTAAAAAACTAAAAAAGTATCTTTTCGGCTAGTTGTACCAAACATACTCTATATGTTATCCATAAGGTATCATATATTTGTCCACATGAACTAGTCAAAATAGACAAATTATATCATCCAACCGGTTATACCAAGTGCATGGTAGAATCGAGTATTTTTGAAATTACGTTGGCCTGCTCTTCTTTTTATTTTATTTTCACTCATACATCATACTATCATTCGTTTTTTAATTCTTGCAACAATTTAACTTTCACGTTTGCCAACACACAACTTTGAGTGCACTTATATTTAATTATGTATTAGTAAACATTATAAAAAGTTGATATTTTGGAAATTCACATTGATAGGAATTCAATAACATTTTATACGTAATAATTTGATTGTTTATATTATTAGAAAATCATGGTCAAAGTAAGATCTGTGAATAGTTTAAAAATCACAATGTTGTAAGAATTAAAGAACAGAAGAAGTACATTATAAGTGTGCCGGATTAGTGTATACCAAATGATTTCTTTTCCCCCATTGTTTATTCTACTCTTATTTTCATTGCTTTTCTTTTCATTGGTGTATATTAGAATTGTTTTTTCTCACATTTATTTGGCATCCGTCTTCCTCTTTTCTTTTCATTACCAAATATCACAGAGTATTATGTTTTGCATTTCCATTCTAAATTTTTAGATGAATTATTAACATGAATTTTGTGATATACTAAAATGAGTATAGTATTTAAAATAAATGTGTATGAGTAAACATTATAAATGAATGTGATTGATTTTGAAATAGAAGAACAAAAAATTATAAATTATTTTTCGAATAAATGTATTATATTTCTCCTTGTTATATATAGTGATAGTTTAGTAATGAATCTACTACATATGCATATTATAGAAATGAGTTTATGTTATATTCAACTGAGTATAACGCTTAAAAGAAATTAGCATACACAAATGAAAATTTGAGCATATTACCGAATTCAAATAAACTTTTGTTTTTTTTTATGCTCATCGTATAAGTTATGTATGCTCATTTGTAAAATGAGCATAATAGAGAATTCAAATGAATTTTCAAATTTTATGCTTATTGTAAAATGTTATATCAATTCATATTTCAAAAGTATCATATTACATTGGATTCACATATTAGAATTCATAGAAGTTAATTATAGATATAATTTAAGCAATTTTACAAAAGAAAAGAAAAGAAAAACTAATAACAAAAAAGTTAATTAAAAGGCATGTGAGGAGTGATCACGATATTCAACTGTAGGTTTCTAATACTCAATAAGTGAAGCTTAATGTTCAATAAAAATGTATTGATACTTAACTACCAGAATTTATGATTTTCATATCAATGCATATTTCAAATATATAATATTTAATTAGATTCTCATATTGGATTTCTTAAGAGTTAATTATTGATATAGTTTAAGAATACTTTATAAAAGGAAAAATAAGAAAAAAGAAAGTAAATTAGAAGATATAAAGCAGAGATCATGATGTTCATTAATTTTTTTTGAAAAGAAACTAGTTAATTATTATTAATAAAGTCATGGTCCAAAGAATAAGTAATTCAAGGAGGATTAATATAAAGCCAAATATAGGGATCAGACATAGAAACAGCAGTCCGAGCAAGATCATTGGCCACTCGATTCGCAAATCGCTTCACATGAGAAAAGGAAATGCTTATAAAGCCAAAATAAATATCTCTAATATTTTCCACGATCAATCCTAGTAAGGAGTCATCCGGCCCCGATTTAATTCCGCTAATAATCTAAAGAGAGTTTGATTCAACATCAATATTATCCCATCCATGTTGTTTCAGCCAGCTTTAGTGCCTCTAATATCATGATGTTCATTATTAGACCCCTAGTACTCAAAAGAATAGATCAGTTGCTCATTAAAAGTATATTGGTGCTCATTTAATAGAAGTCAAGATTTTTACATAAATTACGAAATTGTGACCGACTGTACAGTGCAAGCCGTATAGACGGCTATACGGTACGGGGACTCATCAAAATATTTCAGTTAAATTATTTAAATGGAAATTAAAAATGATAATGTCATAGATCAATCAAATGAATGATAGGTACACTACTACATTTTTTAATTAGGTACCATAGTTCTCACCTTATTTAAATACTGGCATATTAAATTTCTGCTAATCACCATGTGGGATTATTTTAGTATTACAATTCCTGGTTTCAGAGATGAATTCATCTAGACCAAATAAGCATCGCTCATTGGATATGATTCTAAGAGCATCCACATGATCACATTCATGCTACTCAAATAATAAATTTTTTTAATGACACTGATCTTTTCAAAATAATCTCACACCTTGCGGGACTTCTCAAACGTTTTTACTCCTACTTCGAAAAATTTCCTATATGTTTTCTTTATTTGATCAATAAAATATATTTTAAATACAATGTATTCATAATTTAAAAAAAAAATAGTAAATTAGAATTTTATCAACTTCAATAAATTCAATTATTTTGGGTGTTACCAAAAGGACTCTATATGTTTATTTATTCAAACGTTGTCATAATTAAAATGTTCATTAACTTTTTCATCAACAAAAAACACAAATATGCAATACAGAGTATTACTCATTTTGTTATTGTTAATCTAAGTTCCAAACACTTCGTGATTCAATGACATCATTGTGAAATTCCTAAGGAGATCACATGTTTAAAACTCATCTCTTACCTTCAACAAAACAAATATTATAATATGTGAGAAAGTACAACAAAAAAGTCACATGCACTTCTTCCTAAATCCTAATACATACACACATCCCCTAATATATACTCCCTCCGTCCCGAAAAGGTTGGCCAAAGTTGACTTTCACGTGGATTAATAAAGTAAAAACTGTGTGGTTGAAAATTGTGCAAAGGAGAAAGAATTAATTTTAGCCACACATTCTTTACTTTAAATGGAAATGACAAATCTTTTTGGGACATCCAAAAAAGGAAATTTGACCAACCTTTTTGAGGAAAAGGTAGTAATCAAATTCTGTACTATGACCTAATACCCATATGACCAAAAATGCAATTTACAAAAAAGGATGACACCACATCCCTGAGGGCCCCCCAACCCCGACCGGATTGTACGTTGTAAGGATGTAAATTGGACTATAATACCAATCTGACAGATAGAGAGTGGGACTCTATCCTCGGTACTTGCAGAGGCCCTATGCATTTTTAGCATAGTAACCCCTCATCGCAGTTGACGGGATTCAAACCCATGACCTAACCCTTGTGACACTCCCTTGGTACCAGTTGAGCTACGCCCACCGGTCAAAAATGCAATTTACAAATTTTAACCGTAGTGTTTTTTTGTTCAATACTGCTGTTATTGTTCTTGAACTTTCTTTGTGTTACTATGTATTTGTTCTCTGACCAATACATGAATCTGAGCTTGTCCAGAACTATAAGATACAAGTTGGTCTAGGATAGTACTACCTCCGTCCCGCTATGATTGTCCCATTTTACCTTATCAGTTCGTCCCAATAAAATTGTCTCATACCAAATTTGGTAAAGTTAGTGTGGCTCTAAATCATTCTTACTTTATCAATTCAATATCAACCATATAAACCATTTTTTATTAATTTGCGTGTCACTCTCTTTTGTCCCATTGTTAGCGAGACGGAGAGAGTATTATAATATACAGTCATGAATAAAATCATTAATGTGCTCAAATTCACTACAATACAGTTTGTAAATGCATAGGAAAAAGTACAGAAAAGATACTTGTGGTTGGGCCCGTTTTCAGATAGGCTCATGTGTTTCATTCGTTATCAAAGTAGTTCATGTGTTTGAATTCCATTATCACAAAAGGGTCACACCGTTAAAAACGTCCGAAAATGGCCGTTAAAAGTAACTCTGATATTCAAAAGTGCCCAAAAAATTAAAAGGAATACTGAAAGGTGCGCCTCGTCAAGATGATCTCGAAACCACCTTCACCTTTGGATTTTTCAGATCTGTTTGAATTATTTTTTCAAAAATGATTTCGCTAATATCACTTTTCCGATGGACTTTCCCGTGACAAGGGTGGTTGAAAACAAAAAAGAAAGATAGCCTGGCAGACGTCTTATTGAGGCGCACCTTCCGATATTTTTCTATTAATTTTTCGAGCACTTTTGAAAATCGGAATTACTTTTAACAGTCTTTTTCGGATGTTTTTAACAGCGTGACCCTCTTGTGAAAACGAAATCCAAACACATGAACCACTTTGATAAAGAATGAAACACATGACCCTATCTGAAAACGGGCTCAACCACAAGTACTTTTTCTATACTTTTCCCAATTCCATATGCCTCTCCTTGTTTGCCCTCTAAAACCAAGATATTCAGTAATAGTTTGCTTGAACATTATGCCACATTTCTGGTTACATTAGGATAAAAAGAGAAGGATGATGTCAAGTGTTCAAGTCTTGAGAGGATGAGAGCGCCTTTTATTTTGAGAGAGAAAGGCTTGCCCTTATACACCCTTGTGATGAGATCCTTCCACGAACCCTCCCCTTACGGGACTTCGTGCACCCAGCTGCGCTTTTAATGGAGTCATCACAGATGACACACATTATAGTCCAGTGGATTGAAGCTTTAACAGTATATGGTAGGCATGTCAAAAAACATGGCCCGTAGAGACCCGCTCTGCCCCGAGATATTTGGGGCGGGTTTGGCCCGCTCTGTCTTGCAAATGGGACGTGTCCGCCCCGCCCCGTGCATAAAATGGAGCGAGTCTGGGTATTAGTATTTGACCCTGCCGCCCTGACCCGCTCAATATATAAATATATATCATTTTTAAAAGGGAAAAATAATTTAAATATCGCCAAATTTTGAAGGGGTGTAAGGTAAGTACCCCACACTTGCACATGTACGTAATATATATACCCAATCTTTATATAAAAAGTTATGTTAGCACCATGATCATATGTTTTTAGGGACGGACATACACTATAGTTATAATGAACAGACCAGACCAAAACAGAACAGACCAGACCAGCAAATTACAGTCCAAGTAAAAACATCCTAAAACTTATTTTTTATTTTACAATCTACATGACAATTTGTATTGTAATTTTCATATTTATAATGATGCTTTAATTTTTAATTTTTATCAGTACAATGTCCATAAGTCCATGTATACCTTTGTGATTGTTACAAGACCAAGTGGTGATGCAATTAATAATAATGAATTTAGCGGTTCTTATGTTTCCAAGCAACCTCGATTTGAGGTCAATGTAGATGATTTACAAACAATAACACATATTGTTTGCATTATCATTTGTGCATACACGGACCATCAATGCCTAGGTCCCCCACTGTATGTTTTTCTCACAAATGTAACTTTTATGGTGTTAAGTACATAATTTAAAATACACAAAACACTTATGAGGATACAATTAAAGTTTTGAGTATTTTATAATAATGTACCGGAATATTATTTATTTCAGAAATGAAATTTTTTAATACTAGTACATCCAATTAAAGCTTAGAGTAATTTAAATAATGTACTTATTGCTCTAAAATTATATTTGTAAAAAACGTATAATCATGGTGTGAAAATAATTTTTTATATAAAGTTTGGGGTATATATATTACATATGCAAGTTTGGGGTATTTATCTCACTCCCCTTAAAAGTTTAGGGTATTTATATTATTTTCCCCTTTCTAAAATTATACTACATCTACACATATATGTGTGTATGTGTGTGTGTGCGCGTGTGTGTTGTGTGTGAGTAATAATTCATGAATTCCTTGATCTTTTAATATATTAACATTAACATTTTGAACTAGATGAAAAGTTAATTGTCAATGTGGTTTTATATTTAGCATTTATATATTCGTTTATTCATAAATAAATAGTTAATTATTTAAGTCTATATTATTTTTTCTTAATTTTTGAAACTTTTTATTGTATTGTGACTGGTGAAATTTAACTACTTGTTTTTTATAATTATTTGGAGACAAACCTTATATAAAATTCAAGCTATAATGACTTCAAGAAGCTAAAAACGTGTACTAGCTATTAGGTTATTGCGGGGCGGGCGGGGCCTCATGGGCCAACATCTAATGATCCATGCGGGTCACGGGGTGGGGTGAGTCCACCTAGTTATGCCACGGGGCAGGTCCGGGTCCTGCACTACCCGGTCTGACTATTGTCATGCCTAGTATATGATGATTAACCTGATCTGATTGGGGTTTTGGTGGGTACGCATATAAGGTTTTTACTAAGTACACTGTTTTGCTACTCACTGTGTTCAAGTCCAAATATCTTGATGTTTTTATACAAAAATTCTAGGGGTACATGAAAAATGAGATTGTGAAGTGACATGCTTATGTTATGCACATTGATTGGCCGATTAAAAGTTAGTCATGCAATACTCCATCCGAAGAGTATGCGTCACAGAAGAATGTCACTTAATATGTACAGTATCCACGTAAAGAGTAATATCTGAGTAACTTGAAGTGGCCTTACCTTTATAAGAAGAAAAAATTGCCTCCAGCATCACCCCTGAGAGAAAGATCCTACTAAAGACTAACTAATCCACTACTATAGCTACACATTGTCCTTGAATGGACCTGAATCATGCAATAACTTCATCACAAGTCTAACCTGCCAAATAAATCAGTTTTCAGATTTCGGGCTAGTTCGGTGAGATTAAATTCAGCATAAATAGATGAATATTTGTTGATTTTGCGAGTTTGTTTTTAATAGATTAAACTAAATCGTCTAAAAAGTAATTACTTTTTTTCTTAATTATTTAATATCTAAAAATGAGAGTAAAATTGTCATTTCAGTTAAAAAAAAAACGCTATTGTAGTTAAATAAAGGGAAAAGGGTCAGATTGGCCCTCAAACTTACATAAAAAGGTCAAATAAGTCCTTATATAAGAGGCTCTGTACGGCCGTCGCCATTTGGGGCGGTTCCCGGTGGAATTTTTTGATGAAAATTTTTAAGCATCTTATTCATTAAGTCTAGTTTACTCATACCAAATTTCAGCTAAAACTTCAATTGGGAAGGCATTCAAATGAATTCTTGAAGATAACTGCGCAGTTATCTTCAAGAATTCATTTGAATGCCTTCCCGATTGAATTGTTAGCTGAAATTTGGTATGAGTAAATTAGACTTAATGAATAAGATTCTCAAAAACTTTCATCAAAAAATTCCACCTGGAACTACCCCAAATGGTGATGGCCGGACAGAGCCTCCTATATAAGGGCTTATTTGACCTTTTTACGTAAGTTTGAGGGTTTATTTGACCCTTTTCCCTTAAATAAATACTAAAGTTTGGCAGAATGTGTAGTTTACAAGGATGATGAGCGAAGCAACAACAACATCATATCAAAAGATGCGCAAAAATTCATGTTTGATAGAGAAGAGTCTGAACGAAACATTTCTCTCAAAGTAATGACATAAAATGTTTAATAATTATCAGTTGCAAAGGCCTAAGGCTTAATGAACAGTTTTATCATGTCTATTGCAAAACAAAACCAAAATGTATTTATTAGAAAGGTTTCCGACTTGAATGAGTAATCACCTCAGCAGCTTCTCGTGCCAAGAATTCGCCAATGGCATCTCTGAAATCTTCATCCAGAAGATAATGACTGCTATAAGTGGTGACTGGCAGATACCCCCTTTGGATTTTATGTTCCCCCTGAGCTCCGGCCTCAACTTTTTGAAGTTTGAGTTCTATCGCCGCTTCAATTGCCTAAAGTGAGGAGATAAATGAAATCAGTTCCCAGCCATTTTATATTGAAGAAATTACAAAGTTCAAAGTTCAAAAAGACCCTTGGCGAACCCTATTTTCACGATGAGACTGTATGTGGCATTGTGGCAATCCATTACAAAGTCTACCCAGCATGTTTTATCTACTATGTACATGTTTTCAGAATTAAAACACTAAAATCGAAAAATAATCACTGGAATAGAAAACTTACGTCTATATTCTAGTTCTGCATATTATGTACACATTTTATGTACAGTATTTAGGTTGTGGGAATATCGTATCAAAGTCTCATGAAACATAAGAAAACTAAATGAAAACTCAAGAGCAACAAACCTGGTAATAGCAAGCTTCAAAATGCAAATTCGGAAAATAGGCTTCTGGAAGGCACCCCCACAAGCGCCCATACAATGTATCCCCACCAATAAGATTAAGAGCTCCAGCAACTAGCTCATCTCCTTCTTCGGCAACAATAAGCAGTACTTGGTCACCCATATTGGAACCCATCGTGTGAAAGAAATCTCTCGTTAAATAAGTATTACCCCACCTAACAAAAATACCGATATCATTTTTCAATGAGAATGGCAAGTAGAATATGTTGTATAAATAATTGAAGAGAGTTCAAATTGATTAAACAGAACTTATTGTTTGTTGTATTCCTGTAGAACTGATAAAAAGTATCCCAATGCCTCGCCTGCCAAAATATAGCAACACTGTCACTAACTAGAGAGTAATCAATATGGAAAAAGTACAAGTAGAACTTATCTGTTAGGTATGACTTCAAAAAGCAGGTTTCCAAATAAATAATGTTTTAGAAAGCTGGGCCAGTTCGGTGCTTTCAAGATGGCAAAATATGTTTTTAACTATATAAAAGCGTAAAAAATTGAATATTCTCAATTCATTAATTTTTTAATTTAAAAACACATTTGAGATCAAATACGGTGCTTTGCAATCACTCTTTTGCTTAAGCTTTACCTTGATTTCATATCCTCTTAGGCGCTTCATTGTCAGATTTTGCGCAAGAATCTACAGTAAGTAATTGTAGCAGGAATTAGATCATTGCATTGCTGAAGAAAGCCATTATTAACTCATCATGAACCTGATTCCCATCAACACGTAATAGATATGATATTTTAGAAAATGAAGACAAGTTGGGAACAGGCCTTCTTACGCTCTTGACGGATATTTTTTCTTTTGCTTTGCTTCATGTCCATCAAAAAATCTTCAAAGCTGAAAAATTAAATTTAATGAGAATAATCCCAAATGTGGGTTATTCAAAAATAATCACAACTACTGAATAATGCTTCCTATTATTTTGCTGAATTATTTTAACCGGTAATAGATGGTCAAATCTACACACATTTACCCATTCACAAAAAATAAAAAATAAACTCTGCTTGAGAACATTTATTTACATGCTTATGACTATGCTAACACAAATTTAAAAAATGAATTTATCCAAGAAAATTGTGCATCTGAAAAACCCATAAATTTAAAAATTTTATGTAAACAAAAAAACACATAAATAGATAATTTTTTACCCATTCATGGTCATTTTATGCTTTCTGTATGTTTTAGTAAAATATGGATTATGAAAACATACAGAACTTTTTTTTGTTCCTAGCTTTCAGAACTAACATGATTAGTGTAAGTATGACTACTTTTTGGAGAGAAATCAGAGACGGTAGTTTTTCAAAACGAACAATAGGTAAACTGTGACAGTACACGGAGTATTTTTGGAAGCTATGTGCAATAATTGGGAATATTAATAAAGTAACCTGTTGTTAGAATTAGTAAAGCGGGCCGGCCATGTTTGGGATTATTCACATCAATTTTCCATTAAACAATGTTATGTTACAGTCAAAGATTACCAGATCATATAATTGAAAATACTCTTTGGCCCAGCCACATAAGTTCTACTTTCTTTACTTAATCATTTATAATCCTCTTTATGTTCAATAAATATTTTACTGTAGTCAGCTTCTAAAAATAGATTTGATCTATACCCGCCATAACAAACATGTGTTGAAGGAATATTATTTTCAATGATCAAACTTAGCAAAAGTTGCTATGTATGACTACATGACATCATGCCTCAAGTCTTTAATGACAAATGTAAAAAAGTATAAAACGATGAACACATTAATGATCTGAAAATGGTATTTAAGACTTTGTTTGGTTTGAGGGATCTGGAGGGGGGGATGGGGGAGAAGTGTTCTTTGTTTGGTTGAAAAAGTTAGAAGGGGAGGGTATTTCAAAATGTTTTTCGCCCAATTTCCTTTTCACCTTTTATTTATAAAAATGGTGTACATTATTAATTATAGATTACTACTCCCTGCATTTTTAAATGCTCTTCCTCCTTTTTTGTATCTGTCTCTAAAAGTTATTCCAATTTCAATTTTAAAAGTAAAATTTTACCCTGATTGTCCTTCTCTTTCCTACATTTATCCTTTTTTCACTCTCTGGAGGCCCACATTCCTAAAAATTGAGGCACAACCACACAACCAAATGCGAAAGAACAAATGGAGGCAGAGGGACTATATTATTAACTGTAACAAAATTTATATCAAATATTACATATTTTTACATATTTTTCTAAAATAATACTTCTTCCGTCCCGAATTATGTCTCTTGTTTGAGTTTGGCCCAATTATTAATAGAGTGGATGAAAAGAAAATGTTGTGGTTGAGGTTTGAGTAGAATAGAGTGTGATATGAATCACATATTTCTTGTCAAAAGGGGAAAAGGGGCATTTATTTTGGGACAATCCAAAAAGGAAAACTAGACCCATAATTTGTGAGAGAGGGAGTAATTAATTCTCACTACATTGGCCAACATTACACCTTTTTACACTCTTTCATATTCCTCATCTCCTCCCCCCTCCTCTTTCGAACCAAAGGCTCGATGGGATCAGAAAATTAAATGCATTTGGCGGTGGTGTCATAGACTACTAAAGAGCAAACTTCCTCAAACCATAATTACCAAATGGTACACGCTAAAGTCATTAAACATCCCTTGAAAAGAAGGGTCTTGGAGGATGATAGAAAATTAAGAAGTGAAATTTTCAAGGTATAACCCTCAGGTTTGATAAAAAAAATATGAAATTTCAAAGAAGGTCAATATTGAAGCCATCCCAACCACCACTTAGGCAAGAAAGACTAGAAACTCACTTTTTGTAGTTACGGTTTCTCCAGTGATACTGTATTCCAATCCTTTGCAAAAAATCTCTTTCCCCCAAGTTGTCCCACTCATTTGAGGTGTTAAAAGTAATATGAAGAGATGATACCTTAAGCTGATAGAATAGATGTAAAGAAGTATGACACTCAAATATACAACAATATTTTTTAAAATAACAATCTGAAGTTGTTGTTAATTGTTATCTCCTCGTATTTTTCATGCAATTCAATAAACCTTATTATGATGTCGGCTTTGGATTTTTATCTCATTTTCCCTTGGTAAAAAGGTTGCCACATGAATGTCATCCGGCATAAACTTTGGTTATGTTCATTTAGACTTAACTTTGTTGGTTTAGCATTTTCTAGTTTGTTTGAGACTTCAAATCTAGTCTATTTAATGCATTGTTTCCATAGACTTATTTCAAATCCTAACCCAGACCAGACTTAATTAGACTACACTATCCGTAAAGATATCAAACCCAACTTGCAACACATAACAATACAATTAAACCTAGAAATGACCGGCCTTAATTACACCAGACAATCAAACTTTGGTCCAAAATGACATGTCCAAAGGATAATATTGTTGTCTAGCAATTCTAACGTCCAAAAAGTAAGAAAAAGTATGATGGGTCAACAAAAATTAAAAAGGTGAAATGACAAATAAAAGGATAAAGTTGGAAATTTAATGGTTAAAGGAATTTAATTTTGGAAATTATTCATATTTTTTGGACAGCCAAAAAATACCATGTATTGCATTCTGGTAGAAGACTGGAATAAGTTTAAGAAAAGAGTTGACCTTTGTCACTGTATTTTTATTGTTTATTTTGTTACTTAACTGCAGATAATTGATTACAAATTTGAATTTTATCACTAACTCAAATATAATTGCGACTAAGGAGGTGGCGACTGGGCATTTCCAGGTGTATTAAAGTAAATGGCATTTGAAAATGGAATTGGTTAGAATGATTGGATTCCTGATAAATAATATGAAAAGAAAGAAATGTTATGGAAAGTTATTTTCTTGCATTTGGTTTTACTTCAAAAAATGCAAAAAAAAAAATGAATATGACTTATGTTTTTTTAAATTACAAAAATTTAGTTTTCTTAGGCTTTACATAAAAAAAATAGAAAATACAACTACAATAATGCGAAGTATAACCTATTGGATATAGACTAAAAGCAATCTAACTATAGAAATTACAAAATGATACCCAGCCATTCCTATGTATACCCAAATCAATACAAGCATATTTTCAGGCAAGATATCTAGCTAAAAGTGCTCATCAGCTCATCATCACAAGTGTGCCAGATTTCAAAGTTTTCATTATTTTTGTCTATGGCCAATAGCTGCTTATTACGGGGTATTATTTTTGGTATTATTTAAAATCATTTTCCCGAAATAAATAATTATGAAATTTATTTTCAAATTTTTAAGATAGATTATTGACTTCACACTTTAACCTGATGTTTTATCCTCCCCCACTTTATTTTCTTCGTAATATCCGCTTTACTTTCTGTCCTAGTTTGTTGCCCAAGCATTTCCCAAGTTCCAAACGGACCCCTAAAGTTATAAATTGGGTGACAGTTATTCTAAGGACTTGGTAAAACTGCCATAAAGGTAGTTTTTCCAAAAGGGTATGAACACGACGAGTTATATCATATATACCCTTATCGCCAAATCCTTCATTGCAGAAACTAGCATGTCAAAAACTTCCTCTCGGTATGATGTGTCTCGGACTAAAATCCGTGGGCCAGTAACAGGAGTGAAAGGTATACAGCATTGCAATTTAGGATAGTAGCTCAAACCATAACTGTAATAGGCATTGGCCCAAGAATTGTCAAACACATATTCACCATATGAATGGCTGCAGATAAGGATCAAACTATTAGCAAAATGACATACCAGCACAGCTTTCCATTGATTCAGAAACTTAACAGAGTGTTTACTAAATAGCATAGATTAATGTCAAACCTTTTCAGATATAGAGGAATAGCACCTAAAACATTTTTTGATTCGTCCCGAGCAATGATGTGTTGCGGTATCCATCCTGTCTCCTATAAATGGATATAAGATAAGATCGGGGACGTATACTCTTATACCTATTTCAGTCCCAAGCCAGATACAACTTAAATAGACCACACATGCAGCACAAAATATTACTCATCCTCAGTAATATTCTCACCAGTCAAAACTCACAACTAAAATCTGACTAGACTAAACCTGACCACAGTACCACACTTGCATCTAAAATCAGACCAAAACACACCTACAAAATCCTATCCAACAGACATGTCCCGAGAGAAAAATGTTAGCAAAGTGATTGACATATTACTTCCCACGATCTGAGGAAACCAGTGTTTTAACTACATGGAATCGGGTCTGCTGGATCTTAAGAGGTTGACCCTGCTAGTGTTGTTTGACGTTTCATTCTCACTTTGACCCACCACTTTCTTGTTTTTTCTTCTTTCTAGAATATTGATTGATTTCTTTATTCCTTTTTTCCATATGGAAGAAGAAAACTTATATTTAGCAGATACAAAAATAACATATTGGACAAAAATGAACTGGAAATTGATAATGAATGTAATGGTAAAGGCCACCCATCTAACATGCATGAAAATCATAAATATGTCATTGAAGTGATATAAGAGAACCTTTACTGCACTGCCAGATCCCTCTAAGCTTGAAAGAAAAGCGTGGGAAAGAAAGGGGTTAAACTGTTGAGGACCAGTAGCATCAAGATTGCATGCATTCCACTGTTCTGATGAAACTTCTGAGATAGAGGAAACCACAGAAACCGTTATCTTATTCTCCAAACTGCCCATGTCTCCCTAGCATTAATTTCAACACATTATCCATTGAAAGGACAAGTCATAAAACAAAAATGTGATCTTCTGGACCAATATAAGATAGAACCTTTAAACCTCCCCCTGACAAAGAGAACTCTCCCAATGTAAGATCATCCCTAACAATAGGCTGAGCAGTTTTCCGTGAACCCGAAAATTGTGCCTGTATGTTGAATTTACATACTACATTGTAGACAAGTCGCTCAAGAGGGGATTTCATCTGTATTAAGAAAATAAAATGCTTCTTCAAATTAAAGTAAACTAAATTGTGAATTTACAGTGATATTATCTAAATGCTGCATAAATCGCTTAATAGGAAGCACTTAGTAGAGAGAACATCAACGAAGGCAAATAAGTAGCAGAGATTGTCATTGAGATTGTCACTTTCGCGCTCTTTGTTGTGGTGGTCACCTCCCCTGCTGGTGTTGGGTTGATCCATGTGTTTGCTTTGTTATGGGGCCTCCTCACAAACTGAGTTAGGTGCCCCCTCCATATCAACCGTTCAATCACCGTTTTGAGGGAGTGACGGTCATCAGTGTGGTGTCCGACATGGCGATGAAACCAGAAGTACGGTTTGTTAAGGTTGATAAATAGGTCCTCCTAGGACGCCATATACTCCATCACCCTCCCATTTTAGCCCTTCAGTTAATTATTTAACTTTTTTCTATACTTCTAATTTTCTTAGAGTATCTGCTCTATTAAATGCCAACATGCTTGACTGAGATGAGTTTTGAACATGTGACTTCTTCCTTGAGAGTGTGACCTCTTTGGGAATGTCACAATGATGTCATCAAATCACAAGGTGTTTGGCCTAGTTGTTTACTAATTATACAAAAAATGAAATCAGATGAAAAATAATTACGATAACATAATAACACCGACAATAAATATCTTCACGAATATAATCCGTATTTTATAATATGATTTTAAAAGTTGCTAAAACTAATCATATTTAAAATACTACTACTAAAAAAAGTATTTTTGTATGTATAATAGTTAAAAATAATACTACTTTAGAGCATTTATGTATTTGTGTGTGCATGTATATATATTAAAAATAATAATAATAGTGATTATATAAAATAATGGTTCATGTACTTTCAAAAAATAAAAATGTACTCTATAAAAAGCTAAGTTAAATTCATATACATTTTGTATATGTATCCTTAATAGTCATTTTACATTTTAACCGCTCATTGTGAACAACTAAGTTACCAAACAATTTATTTTGATCCGCTAATGATAGCAACTGGTCATTCAGCTAACAAAATCCGCTCATATCAAACATCCTATATAGGGGGTGTTTGGAACTGATTCTTCTTCTGCTTCTTTTTTAAAGCAGAAACAGAATCAAAATCAGTTTTCAGAAGCTGGTCACCCCAACTTCTAAAAAAACTAATTCTACCCCAACTTCTAAAAAAAACTAATTCTAGGAGTAAATTAGAGCACCAGAATGACTTACGCGCTTTCACCCAAACAATCCAAATTCTGCTTCTGCTCTCTAAAGGAGAAGAAGCAGTTTTAAGAATCAGATCCAAACAACCCGTGACGGGTTATACGCCAACTGCAGATTGCCAAACACCCCTTTGTATTTTAGACTTAACTTAGCATATAGATTGATAGCAGAAAGTTCGAAGATATATTATCTTATTCACCAGATTTCTAAACTTGGAAGCAATAAAGTGTAAATTAACTCAAACTGGTTTATGTCAGAAGTAGCTTCGAAGCAATAATAGATAACTAAACTTCAAAAGTGAATTAGAACTCAGAAAGTATAAATAAATAAGTAAATAAATAAATAAATAAATAAATAAATAAATAAATAAATAAATAAATAAATAAGTAAATAAATAAATAAATAAATAAATAAATACATAAATAAATAAATAAATAATGTGCGAGAGTGGATTTTACACATAATTGGAGAAGATTACCTGCTGGAGTGGCTTGTAACCGAGAAAGACAGGATTAGCCGCCGCCGCCGCCATGGAAACACACTGCGGAAGTTTGCGAGACTTCACTTGCGCTCCATCACCGAAGTCGGGGCTGTCGGTTGAACGACGGGTAGCTCTGTAAGGCTGTCCGCAACCCCAAGCATGAAAACCCAATTTAGAATTTTTCACCCCTGAAATGCTGCAATCCTAGTATTTGTGAGTGACAAAATGGTTAGATAGCCTCCGGGCAGGGCTATTATTCGCGGAGGATTCACGGAGGGAGAAGGTAGTGAAAATTAAAATCCAAAAAAACTTTAATGTGTTGTATCTTTTTTATTTGTATTCCAATTTTTATAAAAAATATATCAAAATTAATAACTTTTTATTATCTTTAATATGACATCAATATTATATATATAAAGTTTAAAAATAAAAATAAAATGTTTCATCCGTCGGAGAATTTGTGTGCAAAAATTTTGTCAAGTAGGAAGCGCTAAAATCAAAATCGCATGGTTAAAATAATTGTTTGCATCTTTCATTTATTTATTTTCAAAAATAGGTATAAATTAAAAAAACAAAAATAAATTCCAAATTTATTTATTTTTACAGTGAAATGTTTGACTTTTAAAAGTATAATTATTTGCAAAAACAGATGACAAAAAACGATGTATAATAATCAAATGAAGGCTTTAATTAAGAAAAACTTTGATGAATGAATATATATTGACGGTGCTGGATTGCAGAAGAAAAAGAATTGATTGAATGAATACGTATAAACTGGTGAAAAATTTGATTTATTGACGAAACAGGGTTGCGGTTAGCCTAACCGGCTCATAGGCAAGCACTCTAGTATATTACATGTGTTGCCCGGGACTGTTTTATAATTGAAAAAAATTAGAAATACAACTTTTGAGTAAAAATATTTAAGGATCTGAAATAGAATTATTGTGTTTTTTTCTGAAGTAGGGGTAAGGATGTTTTTTTAACTTTTTACTTGAACTCTAATTTGTTGATCTGGTCTGGTCTGATCTGGTCTGAACTGGTCTGGTCTGGCCTGGTAAATGTCTGGTCTCTGTGTATTTTATAACTACGGAAGTCTGGTCTGGTCTGTTTAAGTCTGGTTTAGTCTGTTTAAGTCTGATATGGTCTGAGACTGAAAACAGTCCAAGTAAAAACATCCTAAGGAAGTTTTTATTTGTACTTAAACATGTTGATTCGTTTAAGTCTGGTCTGGTCTGAACTAATTTGGGCTAATCTGGTAAATGTGTGATCACTATGTATTTTATAATTATCAAAATCTAGTCTGGTTAAGCTTGATTAAGTTCGATCTGGTATGTTATGGTCTAGTTTAAGACTGGAAAACAATCTAACTAACAACATCTTAATATGGTAGTGCGAAGTATTTACTACTCCGTATCATATTGGAATCATTACTGTCAAAATAGTTATGGTGCTAAACATTAGCATGGCAGTAATTATTAAGTATTATCATTAATACTACCTCCGCCCCTAAATGTTTGTCACACTTTGACTTCACAAGTTTTAAGGAGTTGAATTTGACTTTACACTGTAGCGACACTGTTTCACACTGTAGCGGCACTGTTTAGCACTGTTTGGCACTGTTTTGCACTATTTGACACTGTTTGGTATAGATTTGTTTACCAAATAAGGAAGTTTAAAAAGTATGACAAACATTTTGGGACATCCGTTTCGGGGAAGTGTGACAAACATTTAGGGACGGAGGGAGTAGTATTTTCAATCATGACAATAACGACTCATATTTTAAAGGGGGGAAAACATATCGACCTTATTTTAGAATTTCAGAACGTTTTTGCTCTTATGATGTTTTACTGAGAGGATTTATTTGAGTCTCAGATGAGACCAAAGCTCGACAGTTGTAAAATACAACGGGACATCTATCAGACAAAACCAAATCATAAAATTTCAGTCCAAGTAAAACTATCATAATTTAGCGCAATTCCCAAAAAACAAATCAACACTTCAATATACTACATATAAAATCAAAGAGAAATGGCACTTTCATTCCATTAAATAATGTCGACAATAAAATGAAGTGTCATGTTCTCAATTTTGTAAATATCATCCTTGGTTATTTGAATCTTGGTAATTGTGATCTTAGCCATTAAATTTGAACTGACAATTATTTTTTATAACTTTTGACACAACTACAATTGTAACTTCAAAAATAGTAAAAAAATAATCTTTAAAAAAATCTGCACGCCAATAATTTTTTCTCTAAAGATAGATCACAAATAAAAAATATTGATCAAAAAAATCAAATTTTACACAAAATAAATATGCAGCACGGACAAAGTGTGTACTCAACTTTTATATAGTGTCTACGCATTACTCTTATGACAACTCATCCGCGCCTTAAACACATCACGCTATCTCCATCGATTTCGTCTTGTCGCGCCAACCGTATAGCTTAAAAAATGATGAGCTTACTAGCGGACGGATCCTGGGAAGGAGATGACGGCAGTCCAAGAGGAGAAGGGCACTATACGCACCACATCTGCGGCGGCGACAGCATTTGAAGACTTGTTTGAGAGCAGCAGCGAATAAGGCAGCACCGACGATGGCTCCGGCGGCCGGAGATGTATATGGCGGATGGCGGTGGAGGTGGCGGCCGGCAGTGGAGGAGGCAGCTGGTAGTGGAGGTGGCAGCGGGTGGCTAGTTGTGGCGGCACAGGAGAAGGGCACAATACGCACCACATCTGGTGCAATAATGTATACGTTGACTAATCTGGTGCATTAATAATTGATACACACATGTACTCCTATTGAGTTTCATTACTGAGATGCTTCGGAATTGCTAAATTGAGTTCTATAATATTCAATAGACAAATTCTAGCATATAGATTAGGCCGGCGAGCGTTGCGCTTCCAGCCCAAATGACTTTCTAATATTGCGTTTTTATATATTATATGGACAAATAACTAATTTATTATTATAAGATACTCCCTCCGTTCCTAAATAAACTTCCAACTTTCCTTTTTCATCCGTTCCAATTAAATTTCCACTTTCTTTTTTTGATAAAGAATTTGTGGTTCACAACATTTCTTACACATTTCTCTCTCCTCTACACAACTCTCCACCACACAATACTCATTTTTCTTAAATTGTGTGCCAAAGTGGGTTGGAAGATAAAATAGGAAGGAGGTAGTAGCAAAGATTGGCCCGCCTCGTACGCTTCATGGCATTATCATTACTCCCTCTGGAACATCAGCCTTGTCCCCAAGGTCAAAATCAGGGAACTGGTGACGCACAACAGCAACATCTTCCCAGGTAGCATCCTCCGGAAGAAGATGGCGTCATTTGATTAAGACCTGATGACACGGAGCATTTTCACGGGAAAGAGTACGACTGCCCAACACTAACTCAGGATGGAGAATACCTGCTGGTGGCATAAGTGTGGGGGGATAAAGTGGTGGAACACGAAATGTCACCGATGTGTTTGCGTTAAGACAGAAACATGACACACGGGAAGCACTTTGGCCTCTGGAGGTAATTCAAGGTGATAAGCAACTGGTCCAACTCTAGCCAAGATACGATAAGGTCCATAGTAGAGGGCGCTCAGTTTATGTGAGGCTCAATGGAAGATAGAATGTTGTTGGTAAGGTCATAACTTCAGATAAACGTGATCTCCTACCTCAAAAGTAACATCACAGCGATGTGTGTCTGCCAGTTGCTTCATACGGTTGATGGATGCAGCCAGGGTAGTGCGTAGCTGAGACAGAATCTAGTCACGACCCAATAAACATTGATCCACTACCTGTACAGGGGGAAAACCCTTTGTTGGACCATTAACCCAACATATATATTTTATTTGGCCCGATAAAATAAAATATATTTAAAATAGTCTGAGAAATATAACTTTCAGAGCTGATCGTACACATCGGGGCATAATGAGATGACTGCCCACGTGAATGGGGGCCACCCCACATTTTGTGTGCTCAAATTGACTAAATGAGAGCTAGGATTTCAAGTGATGGGATGAGACATTTAGAGACATCAAATGGGTCCCTCTCTCATTCATTGGCTAAATGAGACAAAATAAACCCATCCCCTCCACCCTCATCATTGTACTCAACCCAGGCCACCAAGAAAAAGGGGAGAAGAGCTCTCCAAACCATTCTCCATTTCTGAAATTCGAGCTCAAGCAATAGAGGTCCAAGGAGGCGGATTAAAGAAGGAAGAAGTTCGGAAAAATGCGAAGGATTAAGGTAATGACCTCATAATAACCTTTCCTCTACTTTTTGTCTATCATATGACTTACATAGCATATGGAGGAACCCTATGATTGTTCTACATGTTTAGAAATGTAGAATGAGGGGTTAGAAGGTAGTTCTAAGTCCAAGGACGAACTTAGGAGCCAAAGTGACCGGTTCACCGGAAAGTAACCTTTTAAAGGTTATTTGTGTTAATATGGATTTTATTATGATGAAACCTTATTAGGAACTTGTAAAAGGTATTCCTAGAGCTTTCACGGAGTTGAAAGAGTCGCCGTAATAATCGCTGGAGCTAGACAAAGTTCGCCAGAGTTTCGCCTGAGTTCAACCAGGAGGGTATAACTTCTTAAAGGCTTCACTAAGGTGAGAAGAAGGCTTTATGCCTTATAACTTTTGTGTGAGGCATGAAATTACCTAAAGTGATCAAGAATATGTTTTATGGAATGATTAAAGATAATCAAGTATTTGTTTATGCCATGATTATATATACAACATAGTTGAAAAGCATGCTATACGTGTTTGATGATTAAAAATATGATAAATTATTATGTATGATGTTCCTGGGATCCAAAAAGGTATTTTTGCATTAAGGACGTCAAGAAATACACGTGTATAAAATTTCACGTTAATCGAACTTCGTTTGGGCAGTCAAACGGGCGTTGACCGCCAAGTCAAAGGCAATACGCGACCGGATATGGGTAAATACCCGACCGGGTATTAATAAAAAATAGCTCTTGGAGCTACTGCCTCACCATACCTTACCGGGTATGGGTGGATACCCGACCGGGTATTGGGTAAAATACCCAATGGACAGTTTTGAGCAAGTTTACGTGGGCCGTTCGGGTGGGACCCGTCCACGTTGGTTACTAAGGATTATTATATAACTATAGGGATAGGTATTGTCCATAGTTGAAGGAATAAAAGGTTAGCCATATCCAGGTTAGGATTTGGTAGAAATAAGGTTGGGGTCGAGTACCCTTGGACGGTAAATGATCCAGA